ATCGGCTAGTCTTATGGTCCAAATAATCATAGATTTTAAAAGTCCAATCTTTGTTTTGTAACTATGATTGATTGGAGAAGAAGTTAAGTATAAAGCCAGCATGTGTTGGCTTTTTATATACATCCCTGCTTATTTTCTCACCTCTGATCACTAAGATATCTTCTATACATATACAAACGATAAGAGATTCCCTAAGTCTGGCCTTACGACTTTCTGTGGAATCCTTCAGTATAAGTTTGTAAGTTTCTGAGTCATTTAAATGAACCATCATTTATTCTATATAACTTAATCAATCCATGATGACCACTGCACTACCTTTGTCTGCTTTTAAAACTAGCAGATCATTTTGGTGCAAATATCTAGAAACTTTATTCATGTCATACGATTTCTTTGGGATAATTGCCTCACCAAAATGAGGAATCACTTCTCTTTCTATACTATTCTTAGCCTCTTCTGGCAGCTTGTCCGTTAAGTTAATTAATTCAACCTGCATATCCATATAATTATTTTGCTCATTTGGAAATGCTAAGTTTAAACCCCTTTCCAAGACGAGCGTAACTTTAGCATATATACATCATACAACATCTAGGAACTGCATTATGTGAAATACAAATGTTTAAAAATCGTATATTATTGACTTGCCGGAATATCTTGGTTTTCGTATAGCCAAAAAAAGTTGATAAGAATTCATACCATACATACAAATATCAAATAAGAGATTCATCGAAACCCAAATTTTCTTCGCATATATTACTTACATATGGTATGAATTCTTATCAACTTCCTTCTGACTATACGAAAACAAAGAAATCTATATCCCGGCAAGTCAACACTATAAGATTTTTAAAAATTTGTATTTTACAATGCAGTTCCTAGATGTTGTATTCTTGGCAGACGTCCACATGTACCTATTTCCACTAATATGAAACTGGAGCATGTATCATGTTGTTTAGTTAAGACTAGACTCAAAGAAAGCATGGACACATTACATGACCTGATTAGAACCAAAAAAGGACTAGATTATCCATTTCTCAGCTATTTTCTCAAGAAGACTTTCTCAAATTGCAGAGAATGGCGGACGGTTTGGCGGATAGGATGGATAAGATTCATAAATCCTGATATGATAAGAAATTAATGAATTTAGGCATCAACATCAGCCAAAGGAATCTTCGAAACAAAAAGGAGGTAGTTAAACTTAGTGCTGTTTATTCCAGCATAAATAAAGTCATTAATTTATCCAGTATACCTTTAAATGTTAATGTTACGCTCGCCTTGGAAAATGTTCTAAAATTTTGCATTTCCAAATGAGCAAAATCATTCTATGGAGATGCTGATTGAGTTAATTAACTTAACGGAAAAGCTGCCAGAAGAGGCTAAGAATACTATAGAAAGAGAAGTGATTCCTCATCTTGGTGAGGCGATTATCCCAAAGAAAACGTATGACTTAAATACAGTTTCTAGATATTTGCACCAAAATGATCTGTTTGTTTTAAAGCAGACAAAGGTGGTGCAGTGATTATCATGGATAGGTTAAGTTGCATAGAAAAAATGATGGTTCATTTAAATGACTCAGAAACTTACAAACATTTACTGTAGGATCACTCAGAAAGTTGTAAGGCCAGAGTTAGGGAATCGCTTAACGTTTGCAAAGACTGTTGGGTTCAAAAATCGGAGCTTGTTGAGCACAGGCCAGAAACAGGACACGAGATTGAATGGTCTCAAACTTGTCGTCTTGCTGAGTATGGTATGGTTGCGGCTAAACATAAAATTAGAGAAGCCACCGAAATAAACCGAATAGGAAATACATTGAATGCCAGGAATAATAGTAGGAAGATAAGTAAAAATTAATTGTGCTTAATTAATAGACTGAAGGATAGAAAGGAGTTGAGCCGCCTCCAAAAAGAAGGCGACGCAACTAGTCTTTTATTGTCTTGGTTCTAATCATAGTCACTTCTCTGTACTTTTAGCTTACTCTTTCTCTCTCGCATTGAGACCAAAAACAAAAAAGACTCATCAACAAAACTAGACGAGTGTCCGACCTTGCAGAATCGGAGTGATGTTTATAACTTAACTGTAATAAGGGGAAGGTAGGGGTAATGGAACCTTGATGGTCAAAAACAGACGTTCCTTTTTGCTGTCCTAATTACATTGAGCCATTACTGCGGGTTTTGTGCATAAGCGAAAACATAGAGAGACAGACGCACTCATATGCATCGAAGATGACATATGACCTTAACTAAACAAATCAAATGTATAGTTTATGTACCACTTTTTAGGGATTTGCCGTTAGTTTTCTTGACTCGTTAGCTTGAGTTTTGTTGTGACGATGATACCTTGCTCTGATGATGTTCGTCACGTCAAGAAAGAAAGCTTAGCACCTTCTCATCGGAATCGAAGGAGATTGCCTCGGAAACAGCGTCAACCTGTATTTCCATTTATTATCATTTATAACATTCTTGAAGTCCCACTTACAACTGATTCGGCGATTACAACCTCTACATTTCTATTTTACATATACATTTGATGATTACTTTTACTTACTTCAGTTCTAAAGATAAGAAATACTTTCAACACTTATTGTATTGTTTCTTTTTTTAGAATACCTAAACACAAGGAATTCCGCTTCCTCTTTCCCCTCGTGCCGATCACTTGTTATTACTCGGGTATGGCGACCGTCTCATTTAAGACCAGATGGTTGGACATTGACCGTCAAGCGAGCTTATATCAAAAGGTTGTTCGACAGACTGGTCGTCTAGTCCTATCTTCTCTCCTTCTCGTCCAACTTGTATTAGCCTTATATACTTCCTTGTGGCATCAGCGCGGAGGCCTTGATGCTGTCCTGGCTTTGGGAAGACGTGCTCGTAGCATGGCTAAGTTTGACAATGAACCACCATCAATACACAGTTCTCCAGTTCTGACGTATGTCCAGGCTCAACTCAGGGAAATGAGTGTCCTCTTCCTCATGCCCTGTCATAGCACTCCATTCTACAGGTAAACTAGACTAGACTTCATTCAGACAGCCCCATGCCATCTTCCTCTTGCTATATTTAATTTCTATCCTCCGGCCATCTTTCACTTGTTTATTGAATATGCTGGTGAGTAATGCTGTACAACTCAGAAGGTTCACCATAGGTATACATTTTTAAGAAGATAAGAAAGGTTCTGTATTGAATCGAAACTTGTGTAGAGTCTAGCGGCAACGATAACAAGCCTTTCGATACATTAACAAAATTAGTTACATTCACCTTAGTGGAGTCGATGGCGAGCACATTGGGCATTTGCGCAGACACAGAACCACTTTGGATAGTTAAAAGAATGTATTAAAAGTGAGATGGTAGCCTTAACCTCGATTATATCCCATAAGTACTTCAAATTAGGTCGAGTTCGCCGAAATTGTTCTACTTCAGCTCATATCGCTCGAATTTAAATGAATTATATGGAAAGCTTTTTATACAGATCTTAAGCTGCAACTGAATTTCAATATACTTAATTCTATATTCATTACTTGAACCGATGAATTTCATATTTGATCATTTTAGTCAACAATATTGGTTGCTTTTGAAGTGCGTGAATGTTTGATGCTTTTATTATGTTAGAGAATTTTCTAATAAGGAATGGTTATCCTTACACTTTCAATACGCTTTGATCTCCATGTCGTAATATAATTTCGACCTTGCATCTTCGGGCGCTCGAGCAGTAAATATATGGCTTCATAGGTAGATATTTTACTCTGCGGGCCAAGCGACTGATTGCTATCCGTCAATCGTGTAGATTAGTAGCAAAATCTTATAATTTTTTTTTCTTTGATTATCATTATCACCAAATGGACATACTCTGCTGGGGAGACTTACATTTCATATGCAAGTGCATGAAGAGGAGCTTCGAAGGCCGATCTCACCAGAGGATGGCTGAATCCTATTGCACTGCAGCCGATTGGCTCTAATATGACATTAAGGTTGACGTAGTCAACGAGACCTCTCTCATTTTGGGTGAAAACGAGCTAGGCTTTCGTCCAGAATTCGATGGACATCATCAGAGCTCGAACTCATTCTTGCAAAAGTCTCAGGTTAACACTCGGTCAAGAGGATTTAACTAATAAAAAGAAAATTAATAGGTCTCTATGCATATTGAATGGCTTGCCTACTTATTTTTCTTGTTGGTCCTGCTGTGTGTGCGTTAAAGTCTATACATTATACCGGCCTTAAATCAGAGTGACCAAAGAAAAACGCTAATGCCACAATCTTGTAGCAGCTAGCTCTCTCTCTCTCTCTCCAAAAGATGGCATAATATAAGAGAATATGAGGGCTTCTTTAAACACTGTTTTTATCACCCAATTTCTTATTAATTCGTTAATCTTTTTTTAAAGAAGACCTGACGTAAAAATTAGGACAAGGAAAAGGTCTCAGCTTGTCTATCTTTGACGAAATGGTCTCCGTCTGAAAATTTATTCCTCACTTAAGAGATAGTATTCCCAATAAGGCCCAAAAAATCATTATTTTCCAGGAAAAAAATTTTCAGCCGCTTCAACTCTGGTCAAGTGGTTGCTATCCGCTAGCCTCATACTCCAAATAATCATTGGATTAAAATTTCAGCCTTAGTTTTGTAATTATGTTTGGGAAGAAAATTAAGAAAAGAGCCAACATATATTGACTTCTTATAAGCATTTCTAACTTACCCTCTTCTCTAATGATGGGAAGATCCAAAGAAAGGGTAAGGGCTTATTATCTTCTATTTCCATTGCGAACCTAATGCTCCTTTCACGTTGATTAAGTGAAAGTATGAAACTATCTAAACATTCCTTACCAGATGATAAAATAAAAATCCATGTATTTGCCCAACAATTTGGGGGTTAATATTGCCTCTTCCAGGAAGTATATGCATAAAAAAACGTGAGATTCTATGTATCACGCTTCCTTTATTATTTCAAAATTAATCCTAACGTGAATCCTTTACAAGAATGAGTTCCAGCTCTGATGGTAATCATCATATGCTGGACGAAAGTTCAACCCGTTTTCACCCGAACTGATGGAGGTCATGTTGACTGCATCTATCTGAACGCCGTATTAAAGCCAAACGACTGCAGTACTACGGGATTCAGTCATCCTCTTCTGGTGCGATCGACCTTCGATTCTCTTCTTCATGTACTTTCACACGAAATGAAAATCTCTCTAACAATATTGTATCAGAAGATTCATCGAAATCCAGTTACTCTTCGTATATACAATGGGTACATACTCTGTTTGATTAAAGTGAATTTATTCCTTTTTGAAAATCATTACAATGACTCATGATTTTCTTTTGCTAAACTAATTCTCGCAATCAACAGACGAATTTAGTAACTAGGCTTGAGTCTAGTCATATTAATATCTGACAAACTCCTTACTCGGGAGTATTATATCTGTCTTATAGCCATATCCATGCAAATATCACGCTACGCCAACTGGACTGCTCTCCAAAATCCGCCATCTTGACCGCCACAGAACCTGTCAAACCGAACTCCTGGAGAGCATCTGATCTCGATGAAGCCGACGCGTTCTTTGCGGATCCAGTCGCTTGGCTGCGTGCCGAATTTCCACTAGCCACTGGTCAGGTGGATTCCATTCATTCAATAAAACTGCCAACTCATCTGGTGTTGTTCAGTCACCTCGTGGAGAAGCACACCGACGCAACAGAGCTAAAACGTCTGTTTTCCGACTGGGGCTATCACAGATGCGGCGACCTATTTCATACGCACTTCCCCACGCATTCTCGACATGGAACCCGTGTGTATATTTTTTGTGCTCATGGTTGGGATCTATAAACATATCAGACTTGGTCGGTAAAGCACAAGAGAAACTTCCTAGAAAGTGACAGACAGCAACGACATATTAGCGACAGCAAGAACAATGCGAGAAGCCTTGGGTTCTACTATGTATATACCGTATTTCCCT